CCCTCCCTCTCCCCCCCCCCCTAATGATACCGCCACCACCGAGATCCACACTCTTTCCCTCCCTCTCCCTCTCCCGTTTTACTCTCTCTCTCACTCCCTCCCCTCCCCCCAACTAACTTTCACTCCCCGCCCCCTACAGGTGATCACATTCATTCACAATCTCAGTTTGTTGGAGAGGGGGACGTTGGGACGCGCTGACGTCTTTGCCGGACGTTGGCGGGGTGACGCAGCGCGGCGGGGCCGCCCGGTCTGTGAGGAGAAGGAAGCGGTGGAGGAACAGGGGTAGGAGAGGCGCCGACACGCAGCCAGAGAGCGGGGCGTAGAGCACCGCCAGAGAGACCGCACGGACACCGGGGGTCCAGGGGAGCGGAGCCAGACAGCGTGAGTCACCCACCGTCTACGGGCCGCGCTGTAAGTCTCCCTGCCTCCTCCACCAACACCTCCTCCTCCCCCCTCACTGGGGGCCCGGGCTTCTCGTTGCGGCCTAGTTGCTGGCCCCTGGGCGGTGGGTGGTTTCGGGGATAGGGCTGTCCCCTCCCTCCGCGGCCGAGCCGCGCCTGTGGTTTAGTGGTTGATCCGGCGCCCTGCCGTCTGTTCTCGCCTCTCTGGGTTGATGCTGGTGGGTGGGGAGGGTACCCACCCGCCCGGAGCTCCTGGAGCTGTGCTGCCCGGCTCTTGTCTGGCATTGCACCTGTTTTCATTTCGGCTGCTTCATTGTCGCGCAAAGCGTGGCGCGGTCTGACATTCCTTCACTAAGTAATGTAGGGGGGCCTCTCAGTCTGTCTTACACACTCGCAACCATATGATAATCAGGGCAGGCAGCCCAACGCTAAAAAGACAGTGCAACAGAAGATATCGCCTCTCCTCAAAATAACTGCAGTAAGAGGCATTTCTCCTCCATCAACACAGCTAATCATATTATTTGCGCTCTGCAGGTGCACTCTCCAGGCCAATGGAGATAACCTCAATGTTCAGGTAGACTGCGGTGTTTTACCTCTCGGGTTATGACTGACCTCAGGAGTTGTTCTGTTTATGCTGTTTCATTTGCAGATGGAAAATTTAATGGTGCGAAATTCAGAAACGCCAGTTCAAAATTTGTAGAGCTTTGGTTACGTAGGAACCACAATTTTATTTTGGACTCTTGAGGTTCTCAATTTTGGTTACTGTAGGATTTGAGAGTTAAAAATCAACTCTAAAGAATATATGTGAGCAACTAATTTTGACTACTAAATTATCTTAATATTTTGTATTCCAGACAACTGTCAACTTTCTTTTAATTTCAGTTCTTTGCTAGAAATGTAGAGTTGGATTGATTTGGATTCGAAGACTTATTGAAGGGATAGTTTGTAATTTTGCTAAATACTAGCTGAAATGGGAGAAGCTTTTCCTTCAGATTCTGCTAGATTTATGAAGAGTAATATGCATGTGAATGCTTTGAAGCTGGAACTTGCCTTTGTAAATTTATTTAAGTAAAAAAAATTATTTGGAATTTTTTTGCAAAATATAATCTCTTTCTGCACACTGCCTTATCTATTGACAATGCAAGAAATTGTGGACATCTGTCTCTGCCAGTACTCAATTTGCAGGGCAATTCTGAAGCTCTGTTTGAGCTGGAACGTTATGTCTTTATAAAATTGTATTTCTTATATTTAGATTGTGATGTTTATATTGTAGAATTAAGATTTGCAAGAATGGCAAATGTTAGACTAGTGCTAAACCTGTCTTTGGATGTTAATGTTGACAAATGATAACATGGTTGACAAATGAAACACAGTTCCTTTGTTTGGTAACTGCAAGGGCTTGCATTGACCTGTGTTGCAGAACATTTGTGCTGCTGTTTCAAAAGCATATTTTCTTCCCCAAAACCTCTTCCCTCTGTGTATATGCAAGCTGTTTAAGGCTTGTTCAATTTTTCTAGTTTGAGGTTCTTGCAGATCAGACTTTTTTGGAAGATATCCTGATATCTCTTTAATGGGTCAAGTGAGGGGGAATTCTAGGTATAGACCTGTTTTGCCACTTTGTGGTATAGTGTGAATGTATTCCAATGGTATGTTTTTGTATAAGTAAACAATGACCAAACAAGTCAACTTATTAGCTACAGTTACAAATTATTGACTTCAATTTCATTGCAGTGGTAAGTGTTGACAAAATTGCTGGCCCAGATTTATTCAACTGCAGCATTATTTCAATATGAAGTCTATATCCATTGCTCGGTCATATATCTGGTATCTTTTGATATTTATATCAGACTTTTCTTCATGTTTATTTTCTATTACATCAACCTACAAATAAAACTACATGTCCTTGTGGCCATCACTTGCACTTTTCAGAATGAATGATGACGTAGTCATTTACGAATCTCTGCATTGGTAAAATGACAGCAACGATTGGACTTTAAGAAATTTTGCACACTTGAGATCCTAAATAAGTGTTTAGTGTTTTCCTGCAATAGCTCCTTCCTGTTTACTGGAGATTTATTCATACACATGTATGTTGTAAAAGCTACGAATTTGCCTCCGTTCACAATGCTTCATTTGTTTTCCACAATGTTTGGTCCTTAAAATGCCACTTGTGTGTCAGTTATATTGCTTTATAAATTTAGGTTGAGCCAGCAGGGCTGCAGAAACCTCTTTGGTAATGGCTACAAGTATAGGCTAGTTGGAAACTGTATACAAAGTTGCTAGGGTCAATTTTTAATTGTACTTGGTTATTTGACCTGATTAGTGCATTTATTAATTGCATTTTATTAACACACTAGTTTCATACTGGAAGATATTCTGAAATTTTGCATTTCAGTTGAAACTTATCCTTGCGAACTTTTGGGGAAAAACTAAAATAGTTAATGTATGAAGCAAAGCATAAAACTGATGCTTGCTCTAGGCTTATCATTCAGGTTGTTGACACTATAGCTGCATTATTTGGAATTTTTTTGAGTTCATCATTTCCTTGACTCTAACTGTTCTGAAATATTCATGCTACAGGATCTAAATGATCAGAAATGCAAATAACAGGATGGTGATGGAGGGAGATGATTAGTGTGAATTGCAAGCTGGCTTGTTACTCATTGTTCAGTTTGTTAGCTTTGAGTGGAATTTTCCAACTGTTGAGATTTGGGGAGAAGAGCTGCATTCTTCAGTTCTAGAAGTTATGTAACTAATTTAATATGCATCTATTCTCATTACAGTAGCCAAAAATAGAAAGTGATTAACTCATCTCTAGCTACATGGCAATTTTAGTTAACATTTTAAGTGAGATAAGAGTTGATAGTTTTGTTTTGATGCCAGGAAACTCAATGTCAGAGTAAGTTGAAACCTGTAAAGGCATCTTAGAAATTTTTTTATTCATTCACGGGACGAGGGCATTGCTGGCTAGGCTAACGTTCACTGCCCTTCCCATTCCTAATTGCCCAGAGGACAGTTAAGAGTTAACCATGTTGCTGTGGGTCTGGAGTCGCATGTAGGGAAGACCAGGTAAGGATGGCAGTTTCCTTCCCTAAAGGACATTACTGAACCAGATGGGGTTTTCTGACAATTGACAGTGGATTCACAGACACCAGTAATTCCAGATCTTTTTTATGTTGGGATTCAAACCTGATCCCCAGAACATTATATGTGTCTCTGGATTAACAGTCTAGTGATAATACCACGATGCCATCGCCTCCGTTGCAATTATGTTTACCTTAGCAATGTTGTACCAGCCATTCCCTCTGGTAAGAAATTCTCCAATAGAAAAATAAGCAAAATAGTTGTCACAAGCAATCATTGTGCAAATATTTTGAACCCAAGTTTGGATAAGCTTGGAAGTATGTGAATTGTTTACAAAGGAAACTATATCTGTCTGAATATCGTGTTTTATCTTTGGTCAAAATTTTATCACCCAAAGTTGTGGAACCAATACATGATTAAAATTGTTGAACTGGTAAATGTTGGGTTTTTTTTGACATTTTTCCAACCTATTTTTGGCTTCCTTCTCCTTCCACTCTGGAAAGGTACACTTCTAGCTGAGATAGTTACACAAGCATGTGCCACCTTCTACTTGAATATAGACCATAAACTGTTATCAGAATATAGTCATCTGTGGATACTTGGCTGAAATGGAGAATGAGAGTTACAAGCTGGCTGTCTGCTGTCATCATACTGACAACACATCTTAATGTACAACAGTGGAACACTTGGCTAACTTGATGTCATTTGGTGATTCAGGAACTCAGCTTTGACATCACGCAAGGGCTACTCAGATGTATTTCCTGAGTCATCATAGAGTGCTATTTGAATTCTAGTCAAATCAATGAAAGGTTTCTTTTGCAGTCAGTTTTGAAGGCCATTAAATCCAAACCTTTATTTTCGTCTAAGGTTATTGTAGTTCCTTTGGCTTGGTGAGATCAGACTTGCAATTTGAAGCATCTGTTCAAATCAACCGTGGCAGCCGAGATTGTTTCAATGAAATAAAATCTGGAATTTAAAGAAAACTAGTATTGCATCAGTGATAGTGAACATAGACATTCCAGATTGTCACAGAACCATCAGGTTCGCTTTTGCTTTTTGTGGATCTGGTCTGTCTTTTGACTCCAGACCAACTGCAGTGTAGTTGACTTTTTAAACTGTATTTACATATTCAAGAAGGTGGCAGTAAAGACTGTTAGAGATGGTCAATAATTAGAAATCTTGGTCGTGAACGCACCCTTTGGGGGTGGGGTGGGGTAAGTCACCTGAAGTTGCTGCAGTTTTTTTGAGAAATGGTTGAAAATGTATTGTACTGAGGTAACTTGTATGACTATAGGAACACGATACCCAGTGCTAAATAAACAATTATTTTACCCTGACAGTTGCTTCATATAACTAGATTAGAATGGCTGGTGCTGCAAATTGATTGTGCCACTTTGAATTTTGATCACAATATTATTCAGTTTTGATCATAACGATCAGTAAAGACATGTTTTGTATAGCAATTTATCATCCTATAAGACATTCAGGACTGAAGCACCTTGTGGTTATACAGAGGAAGATCACATGAACAGATATTTCTGATCTTCTGTTTTATATTTGATACTCCGTTAGGCCATGTAATCTTTGTTAACTATGCTTAGTCACATTTTGCATCATGTTGACTGAACTGAACAGAACAAACATCAATGATGCAGAAAAACAAGAGGCTGAGTAGGATTGCCCACTTTCGCTTTTGGCTGAAAATGTTTCATCTTAGCTTTTTCATTTTTTTTCCCATATGCCATATTTGGATTCAAACACATGTCCCCAGAACATTAGCCAGGGATTCTGGGTTACTTGTCCAGTGACATTACTGGCATGCCCCAGCTTACCCATTTTACCCATTTGCGATGACCTCACCAGAGTTGAAGGTGGTGATTCTTAAGGGTTTTTTTTTTGCTTAATTGTCCTGGCTACAGTTTTTTT